ATTATATAAATTAACAATTTTTTATAGAAAAGCAAAACATTTTTACTGATTTACTTTGACTCTAAACGTTTCATTATAATATGATTATGTAAAATGTGTTGACCTGAGGACCCAAATGATCTCAGTTTTGTCAACTAAACTGGGTTGGGTTAAGGGAGATGGAATTTTTCAGTTCTAGGTTTATATGTTTTTTTTTATTTGCAATTCATTAAATGTCTTCTGTATAACCACAATCTCCCATCCAAGTATTTACCGGCCCAACATTGGTCTTATTTACTATAACTAGAATGTTATTTTATATAAATCAATGTTTGCCCTACTTTATATGTTTTAGTACTGAATGCTCAGTACTTTCCCAAATGCTTGTGAAAAAAAATCTGGCAAGTGAATTGGGTGGAATCGAATTCATGAAGTCCAGATACTGTAAATAGCTTGGTGTCTTCACCACTCGATTCCTACTCAAATCAATTGAGAGATTTTTTTTTTAGCAAGCATTTTGGAATGTACTGAGCATTTACTCTAACACTTCAGATATCAATTTGTATGTTTCTCCTGCAGATGCAAAATGGCATCAGAATAGAATGTTATTTTAAATGTACTTGTAACACCATCTTTTGTCATTTTTCCAAGACTTTATTAAAAGAACAACATCCACTACAAATTCAGCAATCCTCAACTCATATCCGAATAACACTTTGCAGTACCCGCTGCTACTAGGGGATCGAATTCATCACTAGTCACCAAACGCAAGCTCGGTGGTCTTGTGGTTAAGACATCAGGCTAGATACCTGGAGGTCGTGGGTTCGATTCCCACCCGAATCACTTGCGAATTTTTTTTGCTAGTATTTGGGAACGTACTGAGTATTCAGTACGATTACACGTCAGGTAGGGCAAAACATCTCTCCCAAGAACAACATCCACTACAAATTCAGCAATCCTCAACCACTTTTGATTTTAAAGCTCAACTAACTAAATACTTGAATTTTCTTAATATTTTTTTATTTTGTGTTTTTCTGTTTATATTTGAATATTCCTTGTTTTCACAAATTGACCTTTCCTTTTTACTGTCCAAAAATTCTGAGTTAATTTCGAATCAGGATTTTTAATTTAGTAAGTTTTTAGTTTTGTTTAGTTTAAAGTTAATTTTAAATCAGTTATACTTTTGTTTCTCCTCTGCCTTTACAGTATGTTTTGAGGGTGGAGCAAGGGCAGTTTTACTGTTTGAGCTCATGCCTATTCTTTCCTCCTGGCAAGGTTGTACTTTCACTTTGCCAAATAAATTAATAATACTGTATTATTGTTATTATTATTATTATTATTACTATTACTGTTATTATTATTATTATTATTATCATTATTATTATTATTTACATAATGATCGCAATTTGACCATAGGTTATGTGGACAATATTTTTAGATTGAGTTTGTAAACATGCCCACTAATTAATAGGTTACATAATAAGTAGTACTGTAGGCGTTAATATGTGGGAATTTAAAGATAAAGGGCAACTGTGTATTGTGATTACCGGTAACTATTTTCATAGTATGTAGTACCGGTAATAGTTTGATTAGATATTAAGGAGACTTGGCATACCTTAATGATTTGAGTATGGAGGCCTACTATAGACTAGTTTAATTAACAAAATCGTTACTGCCTTCATTCTGTTTTAAGCACCATTGCCTAGAGGCATTATGAAACTCTCTAAAGTAATTAGATTCATACCAATATTTAAATGCCAAATATTTATTGCTAATTGTTGACAAATGAACTATGTACAACATAATACAGGGCTTGACATTAAGTAAAATTGCAGTAATTCTCCGTCATGGACCTGGGTAGTGTTTTCTCGATCGGCCCCACTTTCGGCCCCCTTTCGGACATTTCTGGATTTGCCCCAAAGAATGGTTCATTTTGGAAAAGGGAAAATTTCGGGTCTGCGTGTTCGTCGAATGTCCCGGACCTATATATCTTAAAAACTGATTAATGGATCTGAATGAAACTTTCTAGAATGGTTTATCATGGTCTAAGGAACAATGACAAAGCCTCTCAATGGCTACCGGATTGCGCATAACTAAAAACGTAGTTGTTTAGTTGGTTATGACGTTTCCTTTGTAAGCGACAGGTCCCCGGTTTAAATCCCGGTGAAGATCGAGATTCTGTATTCAATATTTTTTAATATAGCCTAGCCAGGCTGGGCTGGGTCTGGTCAGGCCCGGCTAGGCTAGGCTAGGCCGAGCCGATGGTCCCGCGGGGCCCTAGGGTTGGGGGTGTCGTTACAAAATGGAAAAGACGCTTTGCAATTTTATACAAGGGGAAATTATGATGTGGGTGGCGGTATACATTTTCTGAGTATGCTGTAGTTATACTATTATTGATATTGGTAAAGTAATTATGTAGTAGCTTGCCTCTTACGTAATTTGTAATATTACTGATATTAAAATAGATTATTATGTTTGAATACAATCACCTGGATGAAAATCTAAGATAGGAAACTTCAGTTTAATGTAAATTTATTTCTAAGCAGATAAGTTCATGTGTTCTTTCGGAGGAAATTAACATTGCCTTTGGATTTATTTTATATAAAAAGCAGCAGAGATGAAAATGGGATTCAAGGTTACAACATATAATAATATGAATTTAATCATTCGTATTGGAAATCTTTTATTATTAACATATACCTTTCAAATTACATAATCCTTGTGAGATCATTTGCATGTTCAGTTTCACTCTCTAAGTCTCCGATCTGATCTTTGAGTGAATTCAGATAAAGTTGTTTGAACCTTTCTGTCTGAACTTAACCTTTCCTCATAAAAATATTTATTTTCATTCATGCAGACCTGCCAACATTAGACCTACTCCATAAAAGTTAATTCATGTTAATTAAGAGTAGGGATGGGATTTGGGGTTTTGATTCTGATTTTTATGATTAGGGCAAGTAAAAAAAATCATTAGATTATCATTCCTGCCCGCATAAAAAATTTAGGAAATATTGATGCGGGAATATTTAATTTTTTTTTTTTGCTGCATCTTTTACTTATACTGCATAAAAAAACAACTTTCAAAAGAACAACTGCTCACAAAATGTAAAGGAATTTGTTCCGAATTCGGCAGACTTCAAACTCTTCCAGTTGATTAGATCAGACATTGGTCGCTGTAAAGTTTAATGCAAAGCCCATTCTTAAAACTTGTTATATTACTGTCGCTCAAAATAAACAGCATGCTAACTGCGGCTAACAATAGACAAGACTACTGTCCGTCTCTGAAGAGACCCGCCTATTGGGCTAATCGGATCGTTAATTCACAGCGTGAAGACTCATGTGTTTCACAGCTTCAGCTAAAAATAGACAACTAACAAGACCCGCCCAGTGCGCAGATCAGCTCATATGTTCCACAAAGACTCTCGCTGCTAAAGGTAACTCATAAATAAGTTTAGGCAAAGGTTTGCCTACCACGAGCAAGGCCAAAGCATAGGTGCATATGCCAATGGGTCATTTATACACAACACATACACATTTTTTATTTTTAAGTTACTGTATGTGTGGATCATCTGTAACATGCAAATTGAATACAAAAATTAAGCTACTAACTGTTAATATGATTGAACTCAATTTTAGATGCTGGGAAATAAGATATATTGATGAACATTTGGAAGATTCCCTACATTTGGCTCCACTTTTAGCCAGCTAGATGCGTATCAAGACCATAAAACGCAGCAAAAATTGCAATGGTGAAACAGGTTTTATACGCCCAACATGCAAAAATCATCCAAAAATATTCTCAAACTTGGGGTCGTCTTGTACTGTACATGGATCTACTTATACATTAAAATATATGGTATTAACCAATTTTATACTAAAACTGGAATATAAATTTTTTTTTTTATCAAAATAGATATATTGCTTGCTCTTAAGTGCACACCATAGAATACTTCGCATTTTTCAATATTCGACTTATAGAAAATATACTTTTTATTTTTCTTGAAAAACATTGGACTTCATTTAGAGTATGAGAGAATGTTTCATATCTTTTAACTTCTTAATAACAAAAAGAATAATTATACACACTGTATGGTACTGTATTAAAGAAGTATCTCTTAATGCCAAAAAATGTGTAAAAGGTAACTACGGTAAGATATACTAAGCATGGCCGGCCGAGAATGGTCAGCGTGTGGTTAAACCCTCAACAAGATTCACAACCTGAATGAAAATCGCTGCGTCAAGCCACCTTCCCCAAAGGCTTGTGATTTTAGAAACATAATGGGCGAGGTTTGACTTCTCTTTATTGGTGTGAAATAGCTGGTGTATTTTCAAGGTATTTGGTCTACAGTAGTATTGTAGTACTGTATGTTTACTTTTTTATGATTTGTTCCCGATCTAGATTTAACAGGGACATACAAATAAATAATGAAATACTTTACCCACATTATTAAGATTACGCTACATATACATTTGATATCCATGTCGTGACGGCGGTATCTTTCGTGAACCAGTGACATGATTATCACACCTGAACCTATAGTACAGTACATAGATTAATTCTTTCCTTATCGGGTAACGTGATTAGTGTTTTGATATATTTTAAAACCTTCCTTCATTTCCACTGTTGTTAATTTCAAATGTCATTTAAGATACCTGACTTAGTAGTTTGTGTAATTATCATGATTCATATCATAACCCAGAAAAGTTCTCAGGTGTCTGACCAAGTACGAAGCAAATAAAATAATATTCATGATATGCAAATACAATAGCTGAGTCACACTCTGTCCTATGGTACTGATATCAAAATAACAGCACTGTACATGCCGATAGGTATAATTGCTTCAGAGAGCAACAAGGTAGAGATCGCAAGCTTTGTGATTGGCTGGAATACTTATGAATAAAACATAAGGTGGTGATCAACTTGCCTCTGCCTAATGGTTAGCCTTGTCTGATTACATAGCCAGGAACTGCATGTGCTTCTGTGCGTCTATATAAAATGTCCTTTTTCCACTCTTACGCAGGAAATTTTATACAGTCATCTGAGGAAAGTAGGCCTATTTGGTGCACCACTAAAGTGATAAGGGAATAATCTTGTTGGTGGAGTGAGAAAAACCACACGTTGAAGACTCTTTGTATTTTCAGTTTTATTTCAACGGTGAGTACTGTTTGCATGTTGCACTGTACCTGTTTGCGTGTTCTGCAAAGAATTGAAATATTTGATTAAGCTTTTGAATGCAACTGATTGTGTTGCAACCTCTATTCAATCTCCTATTCAGTTCTGTATTTTTTTAATGTTATGAAATACTGTTTTAAAAATTTGTTTTGTTTTAAATGGAATTTGCAAAAATCTTGGTCTTTAAATATGTTATTAATTAAAATGCTTGTATTTTAATAATTTTAATTTTAGGCTTTCATAAATTTTTTTTTTACTCTATTATAAATATAATGAATCCTAGCATTTGAATCTCTATTAGAAGTTCTTTTGAATCAAGTTTAAATTTGGTTTTTAAAAGCAAAATACAGAAAGTGAGTCCAGTTAGTGAGTCCAGTAGTTTAAATTTTAATGAATTTTTTTTAGAGTAGGCCTATTGTACAAAAAAACATTACTGCGACTTACCCAGGGAGTTGTAGCTACCAAAGTGTATACTGCGAAGAAGTCTATAGTGTTCACTGTGAAGGTGCAGTTGTTAAAGCTTGGCACACGTTGCGATTCCGTGAGTTAAGAATGTGACACAACAACGTATCTCATGATAAATTACTTTAGCTCACTGGTGGCACCAATTCAAATGATATGTTTAATCAAACAAATTTAACCTGTGATGGCTTAATATTTTTTTTTTACAATTATTTATTGGTATTCTGACAAATTAAGGTTGTAAGGGAACAATCTAGCCAAAAATGTGTTAACATCTTGATGGAAACCCATTGTGTTGGCCATTGGACTAGGATTATGTAGGCCTAAGATATATAGACCATTTTATCGGGATTATTTTGAAACATCGCCGCCAACGTCTCACAACTCACTGGGGAACTTCCAGCGGCCTAGCCTGAGCAGCTGACTAGTTACAAATAGAGCACCACGCAGCACATCGCGCCACTAGACCTTTGCTATATCATCAGTAGACAACACAAGATCATGCTAATTAGTGTATACCATTGAAATAAATTTTTAAGACTTAGACTTGTTTTTAATATAAACATTTTGTTCTTTTCTCGTTTAAAAATATTAGTCATCATTAGTAATTTAGTTTTATTGTTTAATTATTCAATGATGGTAACTATGTAGATGCTAGGCCTCTTGAAGTCCCCCAGTGGTGGTTGCAAGGTTATCGGAAATTTTCATTTCAAATTTGGAGAAAATAGTATATACTGGTGATACAGTTTGATATCATTTTATGATTTTGTGATGAATTTAGATGTTAATAAATCAAATAAATTTCTTTATATGCCTAATAATTTGGCCAAATTTAACTTCACTGTTGGCTACCTAGCGCACTCTGCCAAGGCAACATGCTTTATCTAGTGTGATATATGTGCTGTGTATGAAATGTGATCAAATAATTTAATTAAAATGATTAAGATATCAAAATTCATAGCCAGCGATATTGACCACTTGCATTGTTTGCCGCATATCGCTTTACACATCAATGCTCCAACATCCCGGAAAGGCAGAAAAATAGCAACAGCATCGGAAATTTATACTCTAGGAAAACAAAGACACTGAAGCCATTCATTTTATTTTGATACTGAAGCTACATGAATGGCATTTAGGTATGATATTGCTATGTAAAGAATTGATGGAAAATTCAATATAATCTAAATTGATAATTTTTGCTATTTTTGTGCTAATTATTAAGCCATGTTATTACCAGAAATTACGATTCATCGAAGCGAAACAGCTGTACACATTATTCAGCGAATCATATCGCAGAAATCTGCATTTTGGTCTGATTTTATTTGTTCTACAGATTAATAAAAACGAAATACAGCAGAATCCCCCTTATTAAAGGGACATATTCGGGACCAAAAAAGTGTCCCCTTATATAGAGGTATCATCTGAATATTGCTACCCTTTAATCTGTATAATGTTTCCGATATTCTTTCATTATTCTAGTGCCATGTTAATGAGTAGAGTAACAACTTAGAAATCAGCCTGAATGCTGCACAGAATCCTAGATTAGAATTCTATATGAAAATACACAAAACAAGAAATCCTCATGGTTAATGGGCAAAACTGAGAAGAGTATACTAAGTAACACTATAGGCCTATATACCAATAGGTTCATTCGATTGATTGAGAGAGAAAAATATGGTTGTGAACCACTGCAAAAAGTAATAGCCAATTTTTAATTGAATGTGGTCTATTTTAAGTGCATACTCAGACTTGTCAAAACTTTTGTAATCTTTTAATTCAAATATTTTTTTTAATTAGCTTTAGTTAACAATCACTGTCTTCCTAGCTAGGAGGTAGGTTCCTAGCTAGGAGGTAGGACAGGACCGAATTGTATCATAATGCATACAATTTAGATAATTTCTCCAACAGAATTATTAAATTATAGTAAATTTTATTTTTTGATATTGTCAATAGCAATTTACAATATGTGATCAACAAAATTAAATTGCCATTTTACAGGAGCAATAAACAGTTTTGATTCCAAACATAAAAAAAACTACTCTTATCATAACTACAGTCACAGCATAATTATTATTTTTTTAATGATCATTTTTTTTTATATACTGGACGTATATATATCAAATGTTTGATTTTTATTTATGCAGCTTCCTGATTTCTTGTGAATTAAAGCCAATGATCATTTATATTGTGTTTGTAATTTCCTACCTCACTGCAATGTAATAAATATTTGTATTACATTTCAAATTTTTACATTAATACTCTACAGGTATTCCATGATCAGATATTCATAAAAAATGATTGTCTTTTTAAGCAATGAGAATTATATTACAGTACATGCATTCTATTGTTATTTATGCAAAGATATTTAAATGAACATGTCTAAAATTTAGATAACGCTTTATATTTAATCCAAGTGTGATTGTGAAATATAACCTGTAGTAATTATTTTGATTTCTTAACCCTTATACTGGAATAATAGATTAAATTCAGATACAGATTTATTGCTCATCACTTAAAAAAATACATGAAATTTGTTTTCCTGAGTTGTATACACTCATAAAATTCATTAAAATATTCAAATACATGAAGTTAAAAACATTATAAAAGTAGATATGACAGAGATTATTCTAAATTGCATCAAATGTACTTTGCTATTATTTTATTGCTATTTATTGATGGTTGTAAAAATTGAATAATTTATAATTGAACTGCTTTTAAAATCAATGATTCAGCACTACAGGTATCATTCAGTATATAGTTGGAATAAATTCAATTTTCTGGATTATCTTTCTCCAAAAAAAGAGACAAAAAGAATAACATTATAGATTATTTTTGTAAAATTTACAATTTTATTATATAACATTCTTATATTATCCCTCACCAAAATTCTACAAGAAAATGATTATGGATAATTTTTAAAAAATTTAACCCAGCAATGAATTTTTTATCTACTATTAAAAATCCCTGAATAGAAATTATACTACGCTACTTATTGGCTGTGTGACTTGGAACGTTGCGCAATATTGATTTATATTGCAGTGAATTTCAAAGGTATAGTATCGAAGTATGCCGTTTCCAAATGTGTACTGGAGACTACTAAGGCTAGGTATAATTGTTAATGTAATTTATCACCTGGAAACAACCTATATAATGTATCTTTAGACGATAATAATAAATAAACCACTTTTTAAAAACAGTACATGATTACTGAAAGTGCCCGAAGTATTAAGAATATACATAAATTATAGATAAAGAATGGTAATTGATGAAAATAATGTACAACCCATAAACAAATTATTCGCTAAAATGTATGCCTTGAAATTGAATAGTGCTCTTGCAACTTCTTGCATACATTTAAGGTAATAGCATTTGACTTTAAAGTTCAACCTTCAATTTATGTAAAAAAATTCTTTTAAGTTTATTGTTGTCAGACCTACATGTATGAGAATATTATATTGGTTGATATTCCTTATGGACATATTTGTGAATAGAAAGTATCATCCTATCTATGATATGTAAAAAATACACAAATTTTTCCCCCGATGAATTGTGGTTTTTCTCCCTGACAGGGATGTGGGGGAATCTCTCCTTGACGGGGAATCTCTCCTTGACGGCCCCCCCTCCTGCTGGCACCACCCCTGATATGGGTCATAGAAAACCCACCAAAAATAGTGGCTGTAGAAAAACCCAAATGATGAAAGCCACACGGTCAGTGTAAATGAGGGAACATTGCCTAGGAAGAATAACCTTAAGGATATTTTTTCCAACAGAAAAGACCAATGTGAACAGCGCGAGTTAGTATGCGTGCTAATACAGTGTGCATCGTACACTGTATAACTTACCACAGATAAGATTGCACAGACAATGAACCACAGGTGAATATAATAAAAGACTTCTCAAAAATCATGTATTTTATTGAATAAATTCACTGGCTCCAGTAATAGTTTATTACAGTATGTGGTTCTTTTATGAAATCAAGTACAAGTATTAGGATGGTGTAAACTTACAGATAGACTTGATGGCATTGCGATGTTGGTTCTGATGAACCTTGTCTTTGAACTTTGCCAGATGACCGCATGGAATATCTCAAACAGGATGTGTGGTGCTGGCCTCCTTTAAAATGTTGTTTGTAGGCCTACAGTGCTGTATCACTAGCATCAAGTTAAGTTAGCCTAATGCAACCAGCCTGTTAATTTGGGCAAGATTCCAGGGCCAAAGCATACCAGTGGGCCCATAGAAATTGCAGTTGCATTTTTTCCATATGTTTTTTCAAAAATAATTATTATCGTGGGCCTCAATAATTGCATGGGTCCCCTAATAATGGGTCCTAATAATGGGCCCCTTGCGATTGACAGGGCCCTCTAAAACAAAATGTTTACGCCTTTAGCGCAATCTTTCTATAGCGCTTCGCACTTGTAACTGGGGGCCCACACCAAACTTTGACCCTGTTACAGTTTCACCTATTGGCAGCTCTGACAATACGTATATTTCAGTAGATGCTGCTAGCTTTAGTAAACTTG